GCCTCTTTACTTTTTGCCTTATTGACCCATGTCATCTAACTCAAAGCTGGCTTCGATCGGTAAGAAAAAGTAACATTTCAGTGAATCAACACATAGAGCTCTTAGGTTTTTTTTTAGGTGCGGGGGGTGGGGGGCAGGGAAGTCAGATCAAGACCATTAAACATGCCAAATCCAAGTTCAAAAACCAAAGGAAAAGGGGAAGCGAAGGGAAGTGAGTGGAGAGGAGGAAGGGCGATCCCTCCTGTCCCTTCACCAGTTACTAAATGCCTCCTGTGTGCCAGGCACATGCTGGGTGGGATGAGGGCGGCACAGGGTGGTAGGAAGAATGTGGAAAGCTGGGCTCAGGTGCTGGCTCCTTGTTCACTTCCTGCGTGACCAGTGACCTTGAACAAATCAGTTGACATCCCAACCTGTCGCCTCCACTGGGAAGGGAAGCGAAGGACACGCTATTGAAAGCCTCTCTTGTGGCGTCAGGCTCTGTACCGAGTGGTCCCCTTTGGTTCTCACAAAAAGTGTGGGTAGTGTCATGCCCACTTTACAGATGGGAATACTGAGTCTCCGACTGTACTTGAGAGCTGTGCAGGGCCACATGGCTCCTATGTTTGGTGGCCTGGGTTCAGACCTAGGGGCATGTTTCCATTGCACCCTAGGCATGGGGCTTCGTAGCCCGATAGCCCCACGGGGCTGCTGTGAGCAGCAGGGGACACTGGGTTTATTTGAAACTGGTTTGTGGACTCCAAATGACAGTGAGCAAGCAGGCAGACAGCTGTGCTGACAAGGTCCCTGGACCTCGGGAAGCTCTGAAACAAGTAGAGAATTTGAGAGAGAACTGGACACAGAGAAATGGGAGTCTCAGACCAACCCAGATGCTGTCGAGGGCTGTGTGGGGACCCCAAGGCCAGCCCCATCCAGAACTTCAGGTTTAAAACAGGCCCTGGAGGAAGAAGAAAGACGAGAGGATTGGAGAGAGATGAGGAAGACAGGATCACGTACCCCTATTCGGTTGGGGTTTCCCAAGTATGATTCCTATTTCACACCTGTTCCCCAGGTAGGTCACACGTGAGCTGCCTCTCACAAATCTGTATTTATTTATTTATTTATTTATTTATTTATCTATCTATCTATCTGGGGGAGGGTAGGATGGGCTCGGGTGTTCAGACTAGGGTCGCTCCCAGGGCTAGGTGAGGCTATTTCGGACGAGGCTAAACTTTTGGGCTAGGCTCCATCTTTGGGGCAAACTATGGCCCGCGGGCCGGATCCGACCCGTTTGAAATGAATAAAACTATTGAAAAAAAAGACCGTACCCTTTTATGTAATGATGTTTACTTTGAATTTATATTAGTTCACACAAACACTCCATCCATGCTTTTGTTCCGGCCCTCCGGTCCAGTTTAAGAACCCATTGTGGCCCTCGAGTCAAAAAGTTTGCCCACCCCTGGGCTAGGCTGTGCCCTTCTGGAACGGGCTCGGCTGTTCGGGACTCAAATCTGTGTTTATTAAACAGGCCTGAGGGGGAAATGTGACTAGCACAGCAAAACCTGTGACTTCTCAGATATTCGTGCTGAGAAGGAGGCAGAAGTAAGTGGTGTGGTGGGCATGCAGGGACCGCACACAGGACAGGAGCTGGGCTCAGGGACAAGAAGTGAAGTTTGGTAACCATAGCGCAGACGCAGCCCCCACCCTGGAAACCATTGGTCCCGTGGTGACTGGCACGGTTCGCCAGGTTTAGCTAATAAAGATACAGGACGCCCGATTACATCTGATTCCAGATAAACCGCGAGCACATTTTTGTAGCAGACGTAGGTGCGGTGCAGTGTTGGGACACTCCCTTCCCCCCACCAGCCTCCCCGTGGAGGGCCAGGTGGATGCTCTGGGATGGAGTCGCCCTTTCCTTTGTTCCGAGCCCTGCAGGGAGAGGCTTGCATACACTAAACCCCATCTCCGAGGCTACTTTTTAAAATTAAACTGGGCTGAAGTCACGTGTGTGTGGGGAAGATTAAAATGGATTCCCTTCGATTAGTAACAAAAGCCAAAGCTGTTGAGAGGGATCCTTAGGAAAACAGCACTTCAGCTGATGGAGAGTGTGGCCTGGGCTTTGGCTGGGGGAGCAGCTGGACACGGGAGCGGTGGGGCCTCCGCTACTCAGGAGGGAAGGCGGGAAGCGAGGCCCCACTCCCATGCCCTGAGTGCAAGTGGGCCCAGCAGGGCGCGCGTTACCCCTTCGCTCAGTCATTGTCACCACAGCACTGCTGCTTGGCATTGAGAAAGCCCCTGGGGGGAGAGGCTGGCAGGGGCACCAGGTGGGAAGTGGCAAAACCCACTCCTTCATGCAAAAGCACTTACTGAGCACTTGCCATGCGCCAAACCCTTTCCAAGGAGTCCACCTGGGGCTGCCCACATTCTCAGGGGCCCGGGGTTCTCAACTAGGGAGCTCAGGGAGGCAGAGAGGGAGAGAGAATTGTGATATTGTTGGTGGCAGGGGTAACAGGTGCCGATGACTAGGAAATTGGAGGACAGTCCTGGGGTAGCACCCCTTTTTACACCCAAGGAAACTGAGGCACAAAAGCTATTGGGGGATTTGCTTGAGCTCACACGGCATGGAAGGAACAGAGTCAGCGTTTGAACCCCGTTCTGATGGTCTTTGAAACCCTTTAACCATGATGCTTTGCTGCCCCCTGGATTGTGTGTGTGTTGGGGGGGTCATTGGAAGTTTTTAAGAAAGGAGGAATGTCATGAAAGTAAAACGTGGAGGAAAAATTATTAACTTGGTGCGAGGTCTGAGGCCAGTTTGGGTGTAAATGCCCGGAGGTGGGGTGCTGGCTCAGGAGCACTGGCTCGAGGAGAGAGGGACCCAGGTTGGGGGCTGGAGGGGTGGAGGAAGGTGAAGGTTGGGTGCGACTTCCTGAAGGATCTGCTCAGGGGAATGAAGGCTGGGTTGTCAGAGCTGGGTGCTGAGGGAAGGCCAGGGCGTGCTGGCAGGTCGGTGGCTTTGGACCTGCTGGATTTGCAGAGATGCCGCGTGTCCCCAGGGAGAGCTCCTGGCAGCATTGGGGCCCTGGGGCCAGCCTGCGGGGGCTGCACCCTCACTGTCCTCCCTCGAGTTCTGTGACCACCCCCTGTTCACTTAACCTCTCTGAGCCTCTGTGTTCCCTCTGGTGAGATGGAGAGCAATGATACCTGCTCTTCAGGATGCTGAAGATACTAAATAAGAAAAAGAATATGTAAAGGGACAGAGAAGGTGCCTGGGACACAGTCAGCATCTGGGCAACTGCGGTTTGAAATTTGGGACTCCAGGCTGGTGTGATGTGCTGGTCCCCCCTGGGCTGCAGCAGAAATGGTCCCAGAGCTAGGAGGGGGGTGGGTGTCTGGCTTTTCCTTCATTTGATGAATTTTTCTTCCCACTGTGTTCTGGGCCCTGGGGATACTGTGTGGGGAGGCTGACGGGAAAACCCACGGATAGCACAGACCAAGCCCACGCTCGATCGACTAGGCCAGTGATGGCGAACCTATGACACGCGTGTCAGAGGTGACATGCGAACTCATTTTTTTGGTTGATTTTTCTTTGTTAAATGACATTTAAATATATAAAATAAATATCAAAAATATAAGTCTTTGTTTTACTATGGTTGCAAATATCAAAATTTTCTATATGTGACACGGCACCAGAGTTAAGTTAGGGTTTTTCAAAATGCTGGCACGCCGAGCTCAAAAGGTTCGCCATCACTGGACTAGGCAGCAGGAGCGGTCGGTCTGGCGCACACGGCCTCCCAGCGAGCCTGGTGCTGACTGGGTGTGCAGCAGCGAGCGTTGTAGGATGGGCTGCGGAGGCGGGGGCTCATGGGCCTCCTCCGCACACAGCATTGCTGGCACAGGGGGGACGCGGGACGTCTGCCTTTGTAACCACCCTGGATTGGGAACTCCCCGATGCAGCAGGGTTGTTAAAAGAAAGGGTCTCGAGGACCAGGGTGTTGTTTCTCAGCCTTGACATCACATCTGTTTCCCTCCCTTTCTTCTTCCAAATTCCCATTTGGCTCGCCTTCGCTAAACCCTGCTTTGAAAAATGCTGGGAAATCCACCTGGGGGTTGATCATGAGCCGTCAGCAGGCAGGGGACCTGGGGAGAAGGCAGAGCAGCCACGAATAACTGGAATAACTGGCTTCCAAGGCTGCCCTTCACGGCGGTGACGCTGCACAGCCCTTTCCTGGCCTTGAGCTGCAGGCCCCCCAGCATCACAGGAAGGGGAGCGCCAGACCCCCCCCCCCACCCCCGAGTTCAAACAAGACACAAGTCTTCACATGTGCCCATCTCACACCACACCACCTTCCCACCAACCTCGGCTGTTTTTGTCACATATTTCTTTTTATTGGAAGGTTAGGTGTTGTTGTTTTTTTAATCCTTTCATTAAAAACGCGTGTTTTTTTCATTACGGAATAAAACGCCCTGCATGTTATAAGAATCCCAGCGTATGTTATTGCTTTAACGAGAGGCTGGCTTCCCCATGTACTGCCTGTTTTCTGGAGTAAATGAGAATGGTGTGTACATCTGGAGGTGACGTGAGAATGCGTGCTGGGGGTAAAGCTCTCCGCAGCGGGGCAGCGCAGAGGGCAGCGACGGAAGTGTGCCTTCACGCCTCTCGCTTCATCCTGCCCCAATCCCACCCCACCCCACCCCGGCCCCTGAGGGGGCTGTTGTTTTCTGGATAAGGGGGTCCTTGGGAAGCTAGTGGTAGACTCACCCCTCAAACCCTTGCTAGGTCAAGAGGAGGCGGCCCTTTCAAGTGACAGGAGCATGGGCTCAGGATCGGGATTGGAAGGTTGTCTGCCATGGACTTGCTGAGTCTCCCTCAGGCACCCGCACAACCTCTCTGAGCCTCGGTGACCTCCTCCTCGGCAGGCTGGCCGGCAGGAGAACTGGGACCAGGGCTCCGACGCCCCAGGCACGAGTCCGTGTCCTGCAAACAGCCCAGGTGACTGTGTTGTGTTGTGCTGTGGTCTTGGCAGGTCGGGGACCAGATTCTGGAGGTGAACGGGAGGAGCTTTCTCAACATCCTGCACGACGAGGCGGTCAGGCTGCTCAAGTCATCCCAGCACCTCATCCTGACGGTGAAGGACGTGGGGAGGCTGCCCCACGCCCGCACCACCGTGGACGAGACCAAGTGGATCGCCAGTTCCCGGATTGGAGACCCCACCACAAACTCAGCAGGGTCAGGCCCCACTGCTTACGCGGAGCCTCAGAACCCCGGTCCCCGCTCTGAGAGCCAGTTGCGTCCTCCTCCCACCCCTGCACCACGTCCTGATCTGTAAAGATCGCACTGGTTCTCAGCCCGGGGCCCCTTTCATTTCCGCGCACGACCTTGGGCGCGTCCCTTCTCTCCTGGCCCGTTTCCCAGGGAAAGCCGAACTGCACCACGCAGCTCTCTTGTTCTTCGTTGGCCTCTGGCGAGTCACTTACCTTATTTTTGGGCCCTTAGTTGTTTGTCTGAAAAGTGAGTCTTAAACCCTGCCCCTCTCCCGGGTCTGTGAGAATCTCAGGAGTTACCCGGGTGGGAGGGTCTCAGATGAGATGTCCTTGCTGGACGGCTGAGTAGTTACTACTGTCGGAATGTGTCACCTTTGGATTTCCATCCCGAGTCTCAGACGGGGTGGTGCCCCTCCCAGGCCAAGCACACCCAGCACATCTCTCTCTCTCTTCCTTCTCTCTCTCTCTCTCTCCCTTTTCGTCTACACAGTATTATAATTTTTAAAATTAGTTGCAAACATTTAAAAAGGTCCCAGGTTTCCCATTTTTTTGAAAACTGGATTTCCGGCTGCTGCTTAAAAACCCAGCTGCAGCCGAGTCGCATCTCTAAGGCTCCGTTCGCCCCGCCCCCCTTCCTAGGACTGGCCTGACCCCGAGGCCACGGATCAGTTGTAACCTTATTCTCTCCTCTCCTGCCTGGACTGTAGGTGCCTGGTTTTAGAATTGCTGTCCACGTGGCTTGACTGGGAGGCTGGGAACCGCCCATCTGCCCAGGGGTTCATGTTCATTGATAGCTCCAGCGAGTGGTGGCCGCAGTTCTCTCAAAGCTTTGCTCAGCCCGCTGCAGACCTACCCTTTCCTTGCCCGTGCCCGTCTGAACTGCTCAGACGTGCGGCTGACCTTGCTTCTCTTCCTCGATAGGTTTCCTGGGGATCCCACCACAGAAGGGGCAGACAAGGTAGGTGCCCTCCGTCCCCAGGCGTCCTTGTCCTTGGCTGCTTCTGAGCTCCGTGGGGGGAGCTCTGGGCCTGCCATGTGTGCCAGCGACTCACACACACGAGCTCATTTATTTGGGCAGTCTGTCTGTCCATCTTCCATCCCACACATGCCTGTGAGTGCCTCCAGGCTCTGGGCAGCCCCGGGACACCATCCCAGACACCGTGGTTAACAGCCACGAACACAACAGATCAGATCCCTGCCCTCAAGGAGGTCACCCCCAGTGAAGGAGACACACGTAAAAACAAAACGAACTACGCCCATGTCCAATCACAGGAGATGCTCACTGCCATCACGACGAGGTGCTGGGTGTTACGAGAGAATGACAGATGGGACACCTAATTGAGACAGGGAAAGGCTGTCTGGAGTAGGAACAGGTGATATTTAGGCTGTGAACGGAAGGTTAGAGAGAAATGAGTGAGAGAAAGTCTGGTGCAGGAGCCGGAGGGGCTGACCTAGTCAGAGGCTGCAGCCTGTGCCAGAGCCCCCAGCAGGCAGAGGGCGTGCCTGTTGGAAGAAGGGAGAGCCTGGGAGTGCAGTGAGCAAGGGGGAGCTGGGACAGGATGACCGCAGGTGGGTGGCCAGCTCACACAGGGTTTGGCTTCTCACTGAAATGATGGGATGCCGTTGGAGGGCTTACACAGGGAGCAAAATGAGGAGATCCGTGTTCTCACAAGATCATTTCAGCTGCTGTGTGTGGTGAAAGGGAGAGGCAGAGGGGAGACTGGTGGCATCCTAGACCAGTGATGGCGAACCTTTTGAGCTCGGCATGTCAGCATTTTGAAAAACCCTAACTTAACTCTGGTGCCGTGTCACATATAGAAATTTTTTTATATTTGCAACCATAGTAAAACAAAGACTTATATTTTTGATATTTATTTTTTATATTTAAACGCCATTTAACAAAGAAAAATCAACCAAAAAAAATGAGTTCGCGTGCCACCTCTGACACGCGTGTCATAGGTTCGCCATCGCTGTCCTAGACGCTGATGATGGTAGAGACAGTGGCGGTTGGGGCTGGAGTGTGTGTGTGTGCCCATCTAAGTGTAGTTTGGAAGTAAAGTTACTCTTACCCCCAATTTAATAAGGGAGAGATTGAGACCTCGAGGACTAAATGGGAACCCTAATAATGTTGCTTCCCTCTGAATGGTCACGAGGACCTGATGATACGTGTAAAAGTGCCATGTAAGACATGAAACTGCAACTGCAGGAGGCCACATGCCCTCAGCACGTATCGGTAGCGTGTCCTGCAGGTTTGTCGGGGTGGGGAGGGGAGAAGGAGGCGGGAGGCAGGGGACAAGACCGTGGAGGGACCGACCTCATCCCGCGGCAGCGTGGTCGCTGGCCGGGCCTGGCCCCTGGCTCCAGGGCAGCTCCATCCTCTGTCTTTCAGCTGGGATTTTACAAGGGGCCGGCCGGCTCCCAGGTCACCCTGAGCAGCCTGGGCAACCAGACGCGCGTGCTGCTGGAGGAGCAGGCGCGGCACCTGCTGAATGAGCAGGAGCGCGCCACCATGGCCTACTACCTGGAGGAGTACCGCGGCGGCAGCGTCTCCGTGGAGGCCCTGGTCATGGCCCTGTTCGAGCTGCTCAACACCCACGCCAAGGTGACCGGCACCCCTCCTTGGGCAAGGGAGAGGCTGGCGGGGGGCTGCTGGGGCCTGGCTGCAGCTCTCAAGGGCTCTGCATCCCTCCCTGCCTCCTGAGGTCCCCCCTCCTTTACTAAGAACCCACAAGGAGTCAGGCCTAATGGAACCCTGGGCAGAGACTGGTGACTACGATGGTCCCCTGCCCGGGGAAGCCCACAGACTCCTGGGGAGACAGTCATTTCAAGTCTCCTGTGATCGAGGTCCTAACTAACACAGTGGCTTTTAATGCACATTTGGAATCATCTGGATTGCTTTCAAAAAGCAATGCTTGGGCCCTGGCCAGTGTTTTCCAGTGGTTAGAGCGTCGGCCCACACACTGAAGGGTCACAGGTTTGATTTCCATTCAAGGGCATGTACCTGGGTTGCGGGTTCGCTCCCTGTTTGCCCCCCTCCCCCTGTTCTGGGCACGTGCCGAGGGAACCAATCAATGTGTTATCTCTCTCTTCGTTGTCTCTTTCTCTCTCTCCCTCCTTCTACTCTCTCTCTCTGAAAAAGCAATGGAAAAAGTATCCTTGGGTGAGGATTTTTAAACAGAGCAATGCTTGGGCCCCACCCTGGCCTGTTCACTCTGCATGCACAGCTGTGGGTGGGCGTAGGCCACGGGCAGCTCTTACAAGCCCGGTGCCTGCCGTGCTGCCGGCTTTGAGAACTCACCTGGTGGAAGTCGGAGGTTCCGAGGCTGCACGAAGGAAGAAGTGAGGGACCCACTGGGCGTGGTTGCATTTGGGAAGACCTCACAGAGGCAGTGCGGTTCGGAGAGAAGTGGGGGGGAGGAGCTTCCGGTGTATTCCGGTTGCTGCAGTCATGCCTGCTAAGGTGCCAGGGAGGAGGAGCCAGAGGGTGCTGGCCCAGCATCCGGGCCAAGGTGCTGGACTTTCTCCTGAGGGCAGTGGGGAGCCACTGAGGGTTGAGGAGGGGAGGCCAGTAGTCAGGGTGGCATGCAGGTCACTGCAGGAGCCATCCCACCTGCTGGTGGGGCTCCCTGCTGAGTGCCCCACTTGTCCCTGCCTCCAGTTCTCACTCCTCTCTGAGGTGAGAGGCACCATTTCCCCCCAAGACCTGGACCGCTTTGATCACCTGGTGCTGAGGAGGGAGATCGAGTCGATGAAGGCGCGGCAGCCACCCGGCCCTGGGCCCGGTGACACCTACTCCATGGTCTCCTACAGTGACACAGGCTCGTCCACAGGCAGCCACGGCACCTCCACCACCGTCAGCTCGGCCAGGGTGAGTGTCCCTGCCCCATCCCTGCACAGTGGCCAGAGGGCAAGTAAAGAGACAGTCAGCCCTCCGTATCCATGGGTTTCCCATCTGTGGATTCAGCCGGCCATGGATTGGAAATAATTTGGAAAAAGAAACCCTAAAAAGCCCCCAAATGCAAAACTTGAACCTTCCGTGCATCAGGCACTAGGCTGGATGTGTGTGAATGAAGGGATGCCGGGCGCACTCTGTCGTAAGCCTGTATGCAGTGCTGTACCCTTTCACAGAAGGACTTGAGCATCCAAGGATTTGGTATCCATGTGGGTCCTGAAACCAGTCCCCCACGGATACTGAGGGGCGACTGTCCTGGCTTTGGAGTGAGACCATCGGGTTCAAATCCTAGCACCACCACTTGCCAGCTCTCTGCCTGCCTTTCTGAGCCTCAGTTTCTGCACCTGTAAAAACCTCATAATAGTGGAGGGCCTGCTGCGTGCCAAGCACGGGCTCTAGGAGAGAAGAGATATGGCCCTGGCTCATGGGGCTCACAGTCTTGGGGCGGGGGGGGCGGGGGGTTGGGCTGGGGGAGAAAAAAAAGATTAAAGCTAATGAGACAGGTGGGAAAAATAATGATAATCCGAGGGAGGCTCCATGACAAACTGAGGGGGGCGCTCACAGCAGAAGAGGCGTGGTGATTTGGCTTTTCCCCGACACGCCCTCTTGTCATGAAGCCCACACCCAGCCTGGTTTTCTCCTACACTCTGCAACCCCCCTCTCCCCCCAAGAGCATGTGGTCCATCTCGGGGCGTGGTTCTGCCCTCAGGATGCTCGGAGGCAAATTAATCCCAGGAGGCCTAGCAAGGAAGGGGCAGAGGAAATGGATTGCCGTCCATTACAGGGAAAATCCCGTCCTTGCTGTCCCTGTCGGGGTGAGCGGGAGAGCCCGGAGGGAGGTTGGGAGAACTGACTGGGCTCCATATTCTCCTTTCCTGCCTGGATCACTCCTCACCACTCCCTGTGAAAAGGGAGGGATGGTTGAGTTGTCTAAGCATATTGTTCCCAGATGGCGAAATGGCAACTCTCGCAGTAGAGTCTTAATTAGACTTGGGACGTTGTCCTGCTGCAGGAGCTGGAGCTCTGAGGGTGCAGTGATGTGCAGGGCTGCGGACACAGGTGGTTAGTGGGCACAGAGGAGCCTGCAGCCACCGGGAAGCAGCCTGCAGTGGGCATACCTTCTCCTTGCAGATCCCAGCTCCCAGCTCAGCCTGGCTTGCTTTTTTTTTTTTTTTTTTTTTTTTTAAAGCTCTGGGTGAACTTCTACTCCTCTGCCTCCTACCCCTACCACTGAGTCACCTTTATCCCTGGGGCTCCTTATCCCTTCCTGGGGTGACCCCGGAAGCTGCTGTGCATTCCTGTAGGCTCTGGATGTGGCTTCGGGGGGAGACAATATCATGCTTTGGGTTGAGCAGGTCACCCTGGGGCAGGGAGGAGCTGTCCCCACCTGTGTACACTCTCTGATGTGCCCTGATGATGGCCACATGAGGCTGCAAGGTACCGAGTCACTGCTGTAAAACCCGAGGTCGGGGGGATTGCAGGCTCCAATTTTGGGGTGCTGGGATGGGGTGTGTTCTAGCCTGGGAGGCAGAAGATTTAGGTTTAGCCGTGGTTTCTCTGGGCCTCAGTTTCCCATGTATAAAATGGTCTGACGTTGCTGGTGCTGGCCAGTCGCCCGAGGCCCTGAGGGAAGATTAGGCTGTGGGACTCGGAGGAGTCAGGGTGACTATTATGCCCGGGAAGGGCTTTGGGCAGGGGTCCCAGCCCAGAAAAGTGCTGCCCGTGGCCAGTCTAAGCCACAGGTGTGGCAGTTCACCCTGCCCTGCCAGAGAGACCCTGCAGATTGGGGCACCCTGGGGAAGGCTGAGTTCAGAAAGGCCATGGGATGACTTGGAGCAGGAAGCTTTGGGGGAACGGATGGAAGGGGTCCCCAAGCTTCAGATGTGAGTAGCTATGGAAGTCTGTGACCCACCAGGTAGCACATGCATGTCAGATTAGGACTAACCAGCGCCAGAGTGAGCTCTCAGAGATGGATTCTTCTTTATTATTTTTTTTCTTTTTTAATTGAGCTTAGAGAGAGGAAGGGAGAGGGATAGAGAGATAGAAACATAGATGAGAGGGACATCGATTGGCTGGCTCCTGCACGCCCCCTCCTGGGGATCAAGCCTGCAACCTGGGCATGTGCCCTGACCAGAATGGAGCTGGGGACCTCTTGGTTCATGGTTCGATGCTGAACCACGGAGCCGCACCGCCAGGTTCAGAGGTGGATTCTAAAGCAAGATTGCCCAGGCAGGAGAGGCAGCGTGGAAAGGTCACTTCACCCCTCAGTGCCTCAGTTTCTCCCCTTGCATTGGAGCTGCTTTCCCAGCTGTTGGAGGATGCAATGATGAGCACCTCCCTGCTAGTGCCAGCACCCCAGAGATGCTGCCCACAGCCCAGGGCAGGTGAAGCCGCGGTTCTTTCCGTCCTTTCCCAACCTGGCTGGGAAGACCCCCCCTGAGGATTTGCACCCAGGGCTTTGCAGACACAGGTAGGCTTCTGGAAAGCGCCGGGCTGGGCATCTGCCACACCCTTTCTAATCTGCATCCCACCCAGGGCCCTCCACATGCACAGCCAGGCTCCTTTTCTCAGACTCTGAGCTTTCCTGCTGCACAGGCTTCAGCCTCCTGGAAATCCAGGTTTCCCCTGATCAAGTCTTCTGAACAGGGTCCTCCTTCAGGCTCTCCCTCTCATTAGCAGGTGTGACCTTGAACAAGTCACATGCCTTCTCGAGCCTCCGTTTTTGTGTTTTTTTTTTTCCCATCTGCCAAATGGGAGTAATGACCGCAGCGCCACCTGCTGGAGAGTCTCAGGATTGCCCCAAGGTGAATGACCATCTCCTGAAGGTCCTTCTCGAGGACGAGTGTCATTTCTGCAGAGCAGTGAGGTTTCCTTCGTGCAGGCAGTTAGAATGAACGTAACAACAGGGCCTTTTCTTCCCCATCCTTCCATTACCTCTGACCAAAGCCTTCGAAGTAAACAAAGAGAATTGTGTTTATTTTTCCTGTGTGTGTGTGTGTGTGTGTGCATGCCTGCACGGGTTTGGGGGTTTTTCTGTGCCCACCCCATCCCTAATATTTATTTGATGTATTTTTCTTTTTGCCTTTTGCCCATCCTTTCTCCCCAGGAGCGGCTGCTGTGGCTTATAGACCTGATGGAGGTACCGTCCATTCGGCTGGGTGGGGCTTTGGGAGTCCCTTAGTTGGGGCAGAGGTAGAGGGGCTGTGGCCCTTCCCGCCTGCCACCCCCTTATGTCTGCACTCAGCCACGGGGGGCTCTGGGGTTCTTCGTGGTGCTCACTCTCTCTCCCCAGGTTTCCTCAGGCTCTGCCATTCCTTGCTGTGTGACCTCGGGAAGTGGTGTCACCTCTCTGAGCTCAGGTTTAGGAGATGTAAAGTGAGGATGTCATTTCTGTGCTGTGCAGCTGTGGAGAGGCTTCTTGGCCCTTCACATGTCACTCTGTTGGCCTGGATGTTCTTCCCACTTTACATGGTATGGCTGCCTCCTGTGTGTTCTTTGGCCCTTAGTTCACCTGCCACCTCTTCCGAGTAGTCTTCCCTGATTCTCTCCAGACTTTTAGCCTCTGGCTCCTCCAGTACCCTAGACTTGGAGGAGCCTCTGTCTTGGCTCCCTTTGTCTTGGCTCTTGTCTCATTATATTCTAATAATCTGTACCAGCTGGGCCTGTTACCTACCTTGACCTTGGGCTGCTTGAAGGTGGCGACTGTATCCCTGGTGCTTAGCACAGAGCCTGGCCCATACTTGGGGCCTTTCTTAATAATAGCAGCTGGCATTTGTTGAGAGTTCGCCATGGCACTGGCATCATGCTTTCCAATCATATCTTCTTTGACCCTCCCAGTAACTAGTAGACATTGCTACGATCTCCATTTTACAGAGAAGCTCAGAGAGGAGAAGCAACTTGCTCCATGCTGCTCAGCGTTGCTCAGCCAGCGAGTGGTAGAGTCAGGATTTACCCCGGGCCTGCTGGCCTCTGAGCTGCTGCTGTTAACCCCTGTGGCCTGGCTGTGATGCCTCCCTGGAGGAGCCCACCAGCTGCTTGTTAACATTATCCATCTGTCTGTCAGTCTGTCTCTCCTCCCTCCCTGCCTCCCTCCTTCTCTTCCTCTGTTCTGTTAACAGTGATGACTGGGTGCTCATTGTGTGCTGTACACAGTTCTAGGTGCTGGAATACAGTACGAACAGCAAAGAAATCCTTTCCATAGTGGAATTTGGGGTCATGCTGGGATGTTAGCGAGATAAACCACTGAAATGCTCAGTATAAGTGGTAAATGTGCTAAGCGGAGAAATAAAGCAGGAGGGGATTTGGGACGGGGTTGGGTGATCAGAAAGTGGCACCTGAGTACCGACACGGAAGGGGTGGGGGAGATATCCATGCCCATCGCCCACTGCTGGGAAGAGCACTCCAAACAGAGGGAACAGCGGGTGCTCCCTGAGGCAGGAGCGGGCCTGGAGTGTCCGAGCAAAGTCCAGGGGGCCGTGCGGTTGGAGCAAGGTGCATGCAAAGGGAGGGCCATGGCAGGTCAGTGCTGAGGACTGGACGTTGACTTTGACTCTGAGATGGGAGCCACTGGCAGGTCAGAGCCAGGCTGACATGGTCTGGCTTAGCTTGAACAGATGTCTCTGATCGCTGAGAATAGACGAGGGTGGGTGTGTACCAAGAACAGGTTCAGTCCCGGGAAGGGCCTGGGAGGGTGTGCAGCCTGAGCTGCTAAGGGGTGTGATGACGAGCTCTGCAGGCACCAGCTCTTCCTGCTGCCTGGCTAGTCCTGGCCTTGGTGCCTCCTGGGAACCCCCTCCTTCCACACACGGCAGGGCTTGGACTGGGCACCTCCTGCTGCCTGTGTGCGGAGCCACAGGACAGAAACGCCTCCTCCTGGAAGTCCTCCTGCAGGAGTACAGAGCACCAGCCCCATCCTGGGTGTCAGGAGCCCCACAGCCCCTCTGCTGTGTCCCTACCATGCAGTGTGCCCTTTACCCACTGTCGGCCTCAGTCTTCCCATCTATTTGACCAAGGCAGACACCCCCACCCCAGGCTCCTCTATCTCAGATTCCTCTCTCTGGGGAGATGCTGGGAAACACTCGAGGGGAGGCACAGAAAGGAATGGCAACCCTGTATTCCCACCACGTCTCTGTGCATTCGGACGAGGGCTGCAGCATTACTCCAGAGACTGAGCCTGAAAAATAATGTGTACTCACCACTGAGTAAGTGCCAGGCTCTGGCCTGCAACAATGCCATGTATTCGTGAGCTCTGGCTGAAGCGATGCTGAGTAACAAACAACCCTCCAATTTGGATGAACAATTGCCTAAAACATTTCTTTCTTACGGCCCAAATCCCTGACCTCATGGAGCTCACACTAATACCTCCATTAATATGCCTGTCAGGTGCTTCGGCCTCTTCCGGAGTTTGTCTCCCCAGGTAAGCAGGGAGAGCTGGTGAGGTGCAGGCAGGGACCACATCTTTCTCCTGTCTGTGTCCCCAGGGCCAGCCCAGGGCCTGGCACAGAGTGGGAGCCCAGGAAATGTGGAGCAGAAGCTGAAATGAAACCGCACTCCCGGCCACTCAGGATTCTCTTCTAACATTCCGGCCTCCCAAACACTCCTCCCTTGTCATAGGAAAATGTCCTTTGCCTGGCACTCGGACAGGCAGGGTGGCAGGCGACCGGCTACCGGTGACCCGGATGCCCCAGACGGTTGCTCCAAATGGAGCCAGTTTCCATTCTGCCCGAATCCCCTGGCTCATGCTGCCCGCTGATCAATCCCAGGTCAGACGTGGCTCCTTCTGCAGCCTTTCCCTCAACCACACGCAGTCGATCAATGGAAATCAGATGCAGCCCTCCCCCAGCGACAGATTGTGTTTATTTCCCATGTGCCTAATAGAGACGCAGCCCTGGGAACTTCTGCTGCCTCCGAACAATATCATTCCTCTCCCATGAAGGATGCGGCCCGCAGAGCCGAGTGCAAGCACGGCGGCCTGCCTGGCAATTCCAAATTCATCTCGTGCAAGCAGGGCGGCGGAGGCCTTCAGTGCATGGGATCTGCAATCCCACACGTGACTCTCCTGACTAGTAGCCGCGTCACCTGGGGCAGGTAGCGTCAGCTTTGGGAGCCTCAGTGTCCACATCTGTGTACTCGGCTGAAAGCCCAGCTCTCTGTGGGTGTCCTGAGGATTCAGTGAGATCAGGCGTGGACTTGCAGGCGTGGAGTTCATGGAAGTTGATTTTATTGATACTCTAAAGGCTGGCAAAGGGCACTGCAGAGGAAAAGGGTTATAGAGGTCACGGCCAGCCTGGTACACATGGAGCAGATGCCATTGGGAGTGTGGGGCGCAGTTGGGACTTGCCCCAGCCTTAACCACAGCCCCTTTTCACCTGGATTTGTGAGGTTTTGCATGCCCAGCCTCTCTGCCTGGAAGGAGCTCCCTGGACCTGCCTGAGGGTGAGTGCCTGCCTCTAAAGACCTTACTGCCCTTCTCCCCCTGCAGGAAGGTGAGAAGGGGGTGCAGGGGTGGTTGTCAGCCTTTTGCTGCATCAGCCTCCTTGCTCATGGCCTCCATGCCCCTCCTCAGCCAGGCTAAAGGAGGGTGGAGACGCTCAGGCCTGTCTCAGACCCCAGGGAGAGCAGAAGAAACCCATCTATTCACTCACTCACTCAGCAGGCTTCCGTGAGCGCCTCCTGCATGCCAGACTGAGCCGGGCACTGTAGCCGTGAGCAAGACACCGCGCCTGCCCTCCTGAAGCTCAGCAAGTCCACTGGGGAGGCAGCCTCAAATCATCTATAGAATTCACACTCCGATAAGTGGTGGAAGGTGGTGTGAGAGCCTGGGATGGGGGCCCTGACCAACCTGGGGCATCATGGGTTGTTCGATGCATAACCACTGAGCCACACCCGCCGGGCTCCTTCTTCTCTTACTCTCACTCCTCCCTCTCTGGTCCCCCCGTGACCTTGAGAAGCCTTTGTGACAGTGCTCAGGTTTTCCACCCGCCTCAGGCCTCTCCCTGTGCATTTGGGGCAGACGTGGGGGGAGTCTGTGGTCCTGGCATCAGAGTAAAGCAGCGTGAAGAACAAAGGGCTGAAAATAGCACCTTTATGTAAGAGCCCCCCATTGTAATGGGGGACGGAGGCCTAGAAACCAGGGAACTGGGCCGGAGGGAAGGGGGGCGAGGGAAGGGCCTCATTTTGCTGAGGTGGCACCTGGGCCATGCGCACCTCCATTTCCAGGATCTGGAGTCCTCCCGGCAGAGGCTGGCACAGTGGAGTGCCCTTATCACTTCATTTCATCTTGTCCCCAAGTTCCTTCAAACCAGACTCCTGGGATATCCAGGCCCAGACGGGGCCAACTCAGACACTAAGGTTTTTGGGTGTTTTTTTTTTCTCTGAAAGGAAGGGAATTTTTGGAACCGCCACAGATTGGAGGCCGAAAGAGATGGGGCAGCAGGTGCTGAGGGCATCCTGGCCCTTGTGGGAAGCAGTCTGGATAACAGTCAGACCTGAAATAAGATTCAGCTTCCTGCCCCATCCTTGCTGTGTGACCTTGGGCAGGTGGCCTTCCCTCTCTGAGCCTCAGGCACCTCAGATTGGAATGGGTGAAAGATCCCTCTGGGTCTAATGCTTCAGCTGGGCACTGGCCTCAGTGGGTGCAGGAGAAAAGGGGCCCCAAGAAGCTGGGGGTGGGGGAGGGGTGGCCAAGATGCTTATGCCGACTCCCTGTGAGCTCTGACCTTGATCCTGCTCTCAAAGCCTCTTCCCCAAGCATTTCTGCTGATGCATCCCCGGGCTCTTAGCCTGCTGTCTGCAGCTATTTCAGATGCACAAGGAACATGGCTTGGGGACTCAGGGCTCCTGAGCGTCTGGATTCAGCAGATGGAGTCTGGCAGGGCTGGGCTCCGACCCGTCTGCCATTTGCTCCACTCAGGCCTCCCTCCCAGGGCTGGCCATTTGTCCTGCTCCTCCCTCCCCTTCCGCCTTCCATCCCTGCCCTCAGTCATGCTCCAGGATCCCATTAATAGCAGAGAATGGCTGAGACCAGGGGCCAACAATGGCTGTGCTCTCTCTTGGTCCAGAGAGAGCCACTCCTGGGGCCCTCTAGTTCCTACAGTAGCAGGGCCCTATCCAATTCTGGGTCAGGTAGCGGCTGCATGGGCTTTGGGGTCCCCCTGGCCTGGGTTAGAAACCTGATCTTCTGTACAATGGCTGTGTGACCTTGGACAAGCCACTGCCCTCTCTGGATGTATGACTCTAACAGGGGTGGGCAAACTTTTTGACTCGAGGGCCACAATGGGTTCTTAAACTGGACCGGAGGGCCGGAACAAAAGCATGGATGGAGTGTTTGTGTGAACTAATATAAATTCAAAGTAAACATCATTACATAAAAGGGTACGGTCTTTTTTTTCTTTAGTTTTATTCATTTCAAACGGGCCGGATCCGACCCGCGGGCTGTAGTTTGCCCACGGCTGCTCTAGAAGATGTGAGCTGGGGGAGATCTTAGTGCCTGTCTCACACTGGGAATCTAATGAGGTCACGTACGTGAAGCGCCCAGTAACTGAAGTGCCTGGCACACAGTAGGTCCTCCAGTTTGTAGTTCTCTGATCTCCTTCTCAGAGAAAGTCACACCTCCCCTGTATGTCCAGCACACATGCTTGTTCTCAGGCTCTGGGCCCTTCCCCCTCTCCCGGGCCCTTTTCCAACTGCCAACCCCGCCATGGATCCTGAACAAGGATTCTGGAGCAGCTGCCGTGTGTGTGGCCCTCTGTTTGGTGTTGGGGACACAGGGGCCCACTCATCTTTTATCTCCAGGGCCTTCTCCATAAGTCAGGGCTGCCTGATAAATACGTGTTGAGTGACTGAGTAACTGCTGCAAGTTCCGAATGTGTCAGCACAGGAGAGAATCCTGTGTCTCAGTCCCACCAGGACTGTCACCTGAGTGTCCATCGTGGCTGCAGGTGGAATCTGGGGCAGGTGACAATGCTGCATTGGACGGTGCTGGGGGCCCCTCTGGTCTTTGCGGTAGGCGTGTCCCAGGCTTCTGACGCTCTTCGTGTCTCCTGCTGAGGTCAGGATTGTGACTGCCAACCCTCGGGAAGTCACTGCATGTACCCAGCCCCACCTCGCCATTCACCTTAACGGTGTCTGGCGGTGGTGCCCGCTGGACTGTTTCCAGGGAGCACTGGACGCATTACATGTCGGCGTTTGGAGGGGGTTGTGTGCGAGGGCTGCGGCTTCCTTTCCGCCGAGGTGTTCCTATGGGGCCAGGGCATGTTCTGCAGCTATTCAGTCTCTCAGGCTCATTTGCAAGATCTCAGACTTCTGGTGTAACAGCCGGCTCCCCTTGTATATTGTGCCAGGCTCTGTTCTGAGCATTTTTGTAGGTGTGAATATATCAACCCCATGAGGGAGGGATTGCTGAGACCCAATTTTACAGATGAGGAAACTGAGGCACAGAGCAGTTCAGTGACTTGCCCACCACTCGTCAGCTGAAGCGGCAGAGCTGGGTGTGATCTCAAAGAAGCCAGAGCCGGTGTCGCTAGTCAGTGGGTGGGAGAGCAACCTCATCACTCCACCTCCCGGGGAACCCCCAACTGTCCTGGCATCACTGAGGCCGTCAGCAGCATCTTCCTGGGAGGCGGCGTGCAGGGGACGGGGCTGGAGAGAGCAGGCGCCCGTCAGGGGAGCCTCAGCTTTATTGGGAAATGGGGCAGTCGTTCCAGCCTGAGTTTGCACGAGAGGCATCATGGGACCAGATGAGGAGCCCTGGGAGTGAGAGGCTCAGAGCCGGGAGGGCCGAGCATCCTGTCCATTGGCAGGTTCCCATGATGGGCCTCCGTGATCGTGTGCCCTTGGCCCGCCCAGAATGCTCAAGGCTTCGGGAGGAGCCCTGGAGACGGGGGTCCGTGAGGATGACCCAGCAGCCTCTGCCCTAGGTGTGGAGTCGGGCGCCTTCCATCCCCTCCCATTGCCCTCACCCTCATCCAGGCCACTGTGCAGCCCCCCATGGTGAGTGGTAGCCACCTCACTCCATTCTCTGCCTGCGTAGGCCTCCTCCCTGTGACAGCCAGAGCGATTGGCTGATTCATTTACTCCTCAGTCCACTTGTGGACTCATTAATTTGCTTAATAAATATTTATCAAGCAGCCACTGTCCTGAATACTGAGGACAGAGTAGGGACCAGGCAGTTACAAATCCTGCCTCTTAGGAGTGTTTATCCTACTGACAATAAGCACATTAATAGTATAACATCAGGTGGTGATCAGTCTTATATAGAAAAACGGCCAGGGGTTAGAGTGGGGCGTGTGTGTGTGTGTGTGGGGGGGGGGGGGGAGGGGGGGGGGGATCAGGGTACTGTTTTAGACAGGGCTGGTCCAGGAAGGCCTCGCTGAGTCAGAACTAAATGAAGTAAGGGAAGAGCCAGTAGCCCTGTGGGCAGAGGGAGCAGTGAGTGCAAAGGCCCTGAGGCAGAACCATTCCATCCGGTTGGCAGGAGGAGTAGCAGCATGAGTACAGAGTTTGGAATTTCCTCCAAGTAGGAAGGAAAGGCCTGAAGGGTTATGAGCTGGGAGGGACATTATCTGACTTGTGTTTCAAAGATTACATCTTGGCCGCTGGGTGAAGAATAGTGATCAGTGCAAAGGAGAAAAATAAAGCAGGGTCGGGTGGGGCTTGTGGTTTCCGGTGGGAGGTGGTACTTCAGTAAGGTCTTAAAGGAGGTGAGCGAGGTGAGCATGAAGAACGTTCCAAGCAGAAGGAAGAGCTGTATGGAGGCCCGGCGTGCCTGCATTGTTCGAGTGTGGCTTGAGAGAAATCGTGCAAAGGGGAACTTCGCAGAAGGCAAACTTGACCTGTGTCTCCCCGGCAACCCACTGCCCTCAGGTCCAAGTAGCTCCATGCTTGACTCATGTGGAACCGCTGGAAGATTCTCAAAAATCTTCTACTTTTCTGCTTTATGTATGACCTACCCGCTGAAACACCCATCTTTCCCTCCTTTGCCCAGCTTACCCACAAGACTCAGCTTTCATCCGTGCTCACTCCTCCAGGAAGCCTTCCCTGATAACCCCTCCCCCGCTGCATTATATGCCTGTGCTTCCTCACTCTGTGCACAGTGTCCTCTGTGCTTGCTTGTGTCAACCCCACTGTCTTTAAGCAGCTGAAGCCAGGGGTCATGTCTAACCTCCTCTGTGTCCCAGGCCCTGTCTGTATGGAGCACTGAGATGACTGGGTCAGTATTGATCTCTGCACTTGAGACTTGAGCTAGGAGTTGGTCATGGAGGCTTTGCCATCCTGGGTTCTGTGGGGTGGAGAAACGGATCCTAGAGCCCTCAGGAGAGCCCAGTTTAGAGAAGAGCACTGCTTGGCCTCCCAAAAAAGGCCTAGAGATGGCCTTTCGGCAGCTCAGTGTCACTTGAGAGAGCATGAGGCTGCTTCTGGTGAGTGAGGGAAGGAAGGAGGAAATGGGCATTTTTGCCAAGTAACATCCATTGAAACCTTAACCATCCTCCCCTCCCCGCTCCCCGCTGTTGGAACCATTAAAATTAGAAGAGGGAGACAGGGAGAGAGGGAGGGATGGATGAGTGTGTGTGTGTGTGTGGGGAGGGAGAGAGAGAGAGAGAGAGAGAGAGAGAGAGAGAGAGAGAGAGAGAGAGAGACTGACTTTCCCCATCCACCTCTCATTTGCATCCTGCCACTTGTACACCTGCCTGGGGTTGTGAGGGAGCAGCAGAGAGCAGCCTTGGTTTGGAGGTGCTGAGGGTATTGAGCAGCACCGAGCTTCAGGAATTCCCAGTAAAGGTCAGAGCCACCCCACAGCATCTCCAGGTTGTTCCGGGGAGGCCTGGAAAGAGCGAGTCTCAAAGGAAAATTGCTTTTAAAATGACTAGCAAGGAAACTGACATTAATTTTAATGCATAAAATAAATTCCAGCGGAGTGGGACCGTCAGGAGTCACATAAACCACGTGCAGGTGGCGTAGGGGCCATAGACCTGGAGTCTAGAGAGCAAACTGGTTTCCCCCCTTGGTTTATGTTTGCTCACGTTGTTTCCTCCTCCATTTCTAGAACACTCTGGACCTGGAGGAAACGGGCCAGGCCGTCCAGGGCAATATGAACGCCCTCCCAGATGTTTCCCTGGTAAGAGGCTCCCTGGCCCTTTCCTTGTGTTTTGCCCTCCATCGTCTGTGTGGGCCCTGGGGGCCGGCTTCTTGGTAAAAGCCAGCGCGAGAGGACAGAGGACTGGGCTGTTCAGATGCAGACCCAGGCCTGTGCACAGTGTGTCCCTCCCCTCTCTCTAGCGCCACCAGAACGACTCCTTCCAGGCGTTTTAGGTGGGGCTGTCAGGCTGTTTGCTTGCCCCGTTGGTGTCACTTTGTCTGAACATTCGCATAGCAAACCCTGAAACATGGAGCGCATGGCAGAATGCCCTGAAGAGGTCCTGTGACTGGGATGGAAATGGAAGTTGAACATGACCTTTGGCCCAGGTGCACACAGCAGCAGGCGAGATCACTTGGTGATTCTGACCCAAATAACTCTTGAATGGCTTGGGCTCTGGAGCCAGACTGCCTGGGTTCACATACCACCTCTGCCACTGACTGAGTGACTCCAGGCAAGTTTCTTGGCCGCTCTGTGCCTCAGTTTTCCCACCTGTAAAATGAGGGTAAGAAGAGTGTACCTCACCCGTAAGTCTGCGGCAACAGGCAAACTAGCTACTTTAGGGAAAGCTTCTGGAACAGGGCCCGTGCTGCCGTAGAGCTGTAGTGTCGGATATTGGCACAGGCGGAGGGGGAAGAGTAATGACAGTATCCGTAGCTGCCACTCACCCAGCACCTGCTGGGTGGCAGGCACCTTGCTAACCCCTTCTCCGCCTCCCCCCTCACCCCCCACAGCTCTTCGGGCAGGTGGCTTCCCCCACTGCCCAGGGGTGCACTCAGAGAGGTGCAGTGCCGCGTCCCGGGCCACACAGCACCCCAGCCCCTGTCTGCCTTCCTCCTGTCCACACCCGCTGCCTCCAGTCCTGTCACACGTCCTGGCTCTAGTTGCTAAAACAATCTCCTAAAAAGAAAAGCCAGAGAAATGCCTTTATTGTTTTTCCATCCTCCGCATCCCAGCTTTAATTATGTCTCGTTCCCTGTGACAAGCCCTGGCTGATGCCAAGGGCTTCAATTCCCAAAGGTAACGGTGCCGTCCCCAGAGACGCAGCCAGGATCTCCAGGCTTATCAGCTGCCGAGATGCTGGGAGAAGTTTTCCACTCGGTGTTGCATTATTCAGCGCAGTGTGGCCAAGAGCTGATAGAGCTGGGACGGAATTCCAGCCGGGCCGGGCCCGCTCTGCTGTCCGATCTCCCCTCTTCCAGCCGCAATGGGCTCTGACTCCTTCTACTCCTGCTGGGTCTTTTGGCAGGATGAAGTCAAGTCCACGGCCGAGGGGCTGCCTGGCTACAAGCTGCCTCCTCCCCCACCACCTCTCGCCCAGCCGAAGAAGCTCGGAAGTCAGGACCAAAAGCCACCTTCCTCCGCCTCTTCCCACTCGGGCATCGTCTTCTCGGCTCCGCAGAACCGCAGCCCGCCGGCTGGCACCGCACCCACCCCAGAGGCCCCCTCAGCGCAAGACTCGCCCTCCTCCCCCATCTACGCCTCCATCTCCCCCGCCAACCCTGGCGCCAAGCGGCCCCTGGATGCCCATCTGGCCCTGGTCAACCAGCACCCCATTGGTCCCTTCCCACGGGTCCAGTCACCCCCGCACCTGAGAAGTCCCCCCGCAGAGACCACGCTGGCTGGGGGCTGCCTCCCACCACCCTCCCCCTCGGGGCGCCCAGACCAGACAGGCACAAACCAGCACTACGTCATGGTGGAGGTGCACCGCCCGGACAGCGAGCCCGACGTGAACGAAGTGAGGGCGCTGCCCCAGGCTCGCAGTGAGTACCAGCAGGCACTGGGGGCTGGGCTCCGGGACTGCTGTGTGATCTTGGGGGTTTGTCCTCTCTGGGTTGATCTGCCCACCTGCACAGTGAAGGTTAACAGGTGCTCACCCAGCGAGCGGTCTCCTAGCCCCGGTGTTCCCCCCAGGGAGAGGGTGGCTGGGGAACAGGGTCCTGTGCCCACACTGAGGAGCTTTGGAGTCAGACACACGAGTGTGAGCCCTGGCTCTGCCGTGTACCAGCTGTGTGACTGTGGGCCCGCTACTGTGCCTCTCTGAGCCGCCTCCCCATCCTCGAATGGAGGTGGCAGTGACAGCCCTGCCCGGCTGCTGTGCGGGTGGGGCTCCCCCTCCTGAGCCTCCAACCCCGTCACCTTGCATTCACCTACCAGCCTCCCCAGAGACTGAGCTTGTTGAGGGCAGGGGTGGCTCCTGCAATCTTCATCCCCCAGGACTTGGCACGGAGAAGGTGCTGGGGGGACGGTGGGCCACTGGAGGTCTCCTGACTTGGGGCTGCAGGGTCAGAGGGCAGGATGGACCTACCAGGAACCCAGGAAGCCAGCCCCAGGCTGTGGCCGGAGGGAAGGGAGGAAGCCTGAGCCCTGGGCAGGCTCCTCTCCTCCTGCAGAGTTGGGCACATTTTGTTGGATGCTGCTGCCATCTTGTGGTTAAAGTGATATGTGGGGGGGGCCCTATGGCCTGGAAGGTGGTGGATGGGTCAGGGCACCCTTACTGAGTGTCTGCTGTACGCCATGCAGTGGGCAGACTAGGATGCAGAGTGCAGAGTCCCTGTGTACAGTGGCTTGGTGAGGGGAGGCAGCTGAGGGAGAGCAGGCAGGATGTGGTGAGAAACCCGAGCTGTCATACTTGGATCACTGCTGCTTCGAGACCTGGCACTGAGCTGGATGCGCATGATTATAAGGGCTAACCATTGTTCCGCACCGTCTTGCGCTGGACACTGTTCTAGGGACTTTGCCTCTATTAGCAACTCATCTAATCACCCCCAACGGTCCTGTGAGGCTGGTACTGTTATTACCCCTATTGTATGGATGAAGAGGCACAGAAAGTAACTGTGGAGCCAGGCAGTCTAGCACACGTCTGCTCTCTTGACTGCTTCACTCTGTATGTCGTATCTATTGGTCTTTATGGGAACCCCATTGGAGAGGTGTCATTGCTTCTGATTAGCACAAGGACATGGAGGCTCAGAGAGGCTATGTCACTTGCCCAGCGTTGCACAGCTGGTCAGAGGGAATTCCTATCCAACCTGCCAGACTTAAGAGTGTGTGTTCTTAATGCAGGGTCTCAGACTCAGGGACTAGGCCATCACACACATAGTGAAGCAGCTGGAATTGACCGGTGAGCCAGAGGGGCATGTGTCCACACTCAGCTCTGGCCAGTTGGGTTCGTGCAGGGTGCAGACCAGGCATGGAAGAACTTCCTTTTTTTTTTCTCAAGAAGCTAGAAATTTAAATTTTATGTGAAATCTCCTAATTTGAATGTGTTGATCCACCATTAAAAACTGACAGCATTGTATGTGTTTAAAAAACAATAACCCCACATCTGTGGGCTGGTTTTGCTCTCTGATCTCTGTTCTAATCATTACACCAGGGGCAGTCAGGGCAGACATCCTGGAAGAGGCAGCCTTGGGGCCAGGCCCAGTTGGAAGGGCAGGTCTCGGTGGGGAAAAGAGTGATACCCTCCAGCTATCCACAACCACCCAGTCTTTGCCCAGGGAATCCCCCCAGGCCTTCCAGTCTGCAGCTTCATCACCTCCTCCAGGAAGCCCTCCTTGATCCCAACTGTATAAATCACATTCTCCTCCTATTCCCCCCCCAACCCCCCCCCCAGCAGCCTCCACACTCTCTCAGCTCTCGGACAGTGGGCAGACTCTGAGTGAGGACAGTGGTGTGGACGCTGGCGAGGTGGAGGCCAGCGCCCCTGGCCGAGGCAGACAGATGGCGTCCACCAAAAGCAGGAGTAGCAAGGACCCACCTCGGAACGAGAGGAGCACAGAGGGGGCAACCAAACCGGTGAGTGAGGAGGAGGGGGTCACAGAGGGTGAGGGGAAGAACAGGAAGTGCCTGACCAGGGTTCATCTTGTCAAGTGACCTCAGGGAATGGAGCGAGCCCCTCACTGGAGGGGTGTGGGCACTGGAAAGGGTATTAGCTGGAGGCCCAGTTCAAGTCCTACCTTTGCTGTGACACTGACCAGCCGAGCCCTGAGGCTGGTCTTGAGACCCTTAAAGCTCAGTCCTGACATGGCGAGGTGGCTGGGGGAGGTGGGGGGGCGGGGGAAGGGGGGTAGACCTGGATTGAGTCCTGGTGCTACCACCAGGCAGTCTTGGCTGCCCCTTAACTTCCTGAGCCTCAGGGATTTTTGTAGCAATTAGGAGCTGAGAACACCAAGTGCTTAGCTTGCTGCCTGGCATATTGGAGGCTCCCAACACAGGCTGGCGTCTGAGCCCTGCTGACCTAAAGCTGTCATGCCCAGGCCTATACACTGAGAAGGCCTTCGTCACTGGTCTCCTTCATACCCACAGCCTGGACTCTTGGAGCCCACATCCACCCTGGTCCGAGTGAAAAAAAGTGCGGCCACCCTGGGCATCGCCATCGAGGGTGGCGCCAACACCCGCCAGCCGCTGCCCAGGATCGTCACTATTCAGGTACTTCCCCAGGGGCCCGCTGACTATCTCCCCCTGCCCCTGGGAGTTTCCTCTCAGCATCCAGGGTTGTGCCACCCCCACAGGTGACCCAGCACTGAAGGGCAGACCAGGCTCATACGACCTTTGCTCTCCCTGAGCCTCAGTTTCCTAATCAGGACTGTGGACACCCAGATGGTAGCTGCCAGGTTGGCAGTGTCAGGTCTGACCCTGTGGGTGGCCAAAACCAGGCCAGCCTAGTCCTCAGGTGCCCTCCGTGCCTCCGACCTGTGTCTCACCCACAGCGAGGCGGCTCGGCCCACAACTGTGGGCAGCTGAAGGTGGGCCACGTGATCCTGGAGGTGAATGGGCTGACGCTGCGGGGCAAGGAGCACCGGGAAGCCGCGCGCATCATCGCCGAGGCCTTCAAGACCAAGGAGTGTGACTACATCGACTTTCTGGTCACCGAGTTCAATGTGATGCTCTAGGGGCCGAGGCCTGAGCGCCTCCCACCGCTGTCCAGCCCCTGGCGCGGACCCTCTTCCCTCTTGGCACTGTGACGCTCCCTGAGGGCCCAGGGCTGCATGGCCAGGGTAGCAGGAAGACACCCCCACTCCCTCCGGGCCCGCTGGACCAGAACCGGGAGCGGAGGCAAAGCAAACAGGAGGTCAGGTCAGGTCAGGTCAGGATCTGGTGCCGCGCCCGGCGCACAGAAGGCACTCACCCCAAGTGTGGCTTCAGGAAGGGGAAGGACACAGTGTCTTGGCATGTCCACCTGCCGTCTGCCAGGGCCTGCTCCTCTGGGTTGTGTCGGGGGCACTGTGCCCCTGGCCACCTAGGACCTGGCCCATCTCCAGATGCCTTGGCTTTGTCTAGAGCAGCGGTTCTCAACCTGTGGGTCGCGACCCCTGAAAATACATCCTGCATATCAGATATTTACATGACGATTCATAACAGCAGCAAAATTACAGTTATGAAGTAGCAACAAAAATAATTTTATGGTTGGGGGTCACCACAACATGAGGAACTGTATTAAAGGGTCGCGGCATTAGGAAGGTTGAGAGTGAGGTCACATGAGAATTCATGGACATGGCCCCCAGCCAGGGGGCATCTTGCAGGACCTTTAGTGCCACAAATAAGCATCAAGCACCCCCTTCCCATTTACCCCCCATTCCTCCGAGCTCCTTGTTCCCCATGGTATTTATTATTTATTTCCCCCTCCACACCCTGGGGACCCAAGACCCCAGCTCCCCACCGCACCCCCTGCCTATCCCAGAGGCCTTGCAGGTGACCAGCGACGTCAGTGTATTTATATACAGAGCTTATGACTTTAATTTTTCAATAAAGAGATCTGAACAAGGTTAGGGTCCAGTGTGCTGTGTGGCCTGCCTGTGTGACTGGGGTCTTGATGGCTCAACGTGGAGATGGGGGGAGGGCAGTTGGAGGCATCAGAGCACCAGACATCACCACCCTCTCCCCCCAAACCCCCCACATCGGAAATGCAGGGGCACTTGAAACCACACCTGCGTCTTGGAACACCCTACCTGAAGGTTGTTTACAGAGAATATTCTTAGATTAAAAGGCACAGGTATGTCATGGGGCAGAGTACACAATGTGTGTGGATGTTTTAAATGACAGAGAGGTGGCCCACCTGAAGGCAGGTCCCAGAAACTGACTCAGCGTGAGGGTTTGTATGCAAGTGATTCATTAAGGAAGGGAGAGTCAGTGAAGGAGTGGGGGCTCGGGAGGGGAAGGGGAGGAGCCAAGCCTGGGAGGGGACACCAGAGTGTAAGCTATGCCTACAGCTGCCCCCCCTCAGGGCCCTGGGACAGGGCTTTCATGCTGTCAGTCTTTGATCAAGGCCTGGGGGAGAAGGGAGAGATAGTAAATTCCCACTGACATCTCGCCCTCTATCTGTGCAGGCCACATGCTGTTCTAGGAGCCCAGGGCAGTGGCTGTTACAAGTAACAACTCATGGAGGGGAAAGAGGAGAGGGTGACAAGAGATGGTCAGCTTCCCAGTCCCTGGGCCCATTTCCTTCATCCCCAGGGTTCCTCTGGGGCAAGAAGAGTTTGAGAAGGTCTGCTTTGCCCAGCCCAGTGTCCAGCGCCTGCCAGAATGGGTTCGGGGCAGTTGATTCCACAGACCTGCACCAGATTCTGCTCTTGGCTGCCCTGGTTCCCTCCCCAGGCCAAGGAGATCACCTGGAGACCAGACAGAACCCTGGATTCCGCTAGACCTTGAAGCAGCCTATCCCGGAAAATCCTAGCCCCGCCCCAGCCCTAACATCCCTGCAGGAAGAAGACTTACCTGGCAGCAGGAGAGCTTCGTCAGGCCCCAGATCTCCTGGCTTCAGACTCCAAAGCCTGTGTGGTCAAGGGCAAGTGATCTCACCGTTCTGAGCCCAAGTTCCCCATCTGGGAAATGGGTGTGGTAGGCTGAATAATGGCGCCTAAAGGTATTCCCATTCCTGGAACGTGGGAATGTTACCTTATAAGGCAAAGGGACTTTGCAGATGTGATCCAGGTGTCTCGCTGGGGAGGTTATCTGGGACTATTTGGGCAGGCCGAACGTGATCACTTGGGTCTTTGAAAAAGGGAGGCAGGGGGAGGGAGGCTGGACACAGAACAGGAAAAGGTGTGATGATGGACATGAAGGTTGGAGTGGTGTGTTTTGAAGATGGAGGAAGGGACCACGAGCCCAGGAGTGCAGGTTGCCACTAGAAGCTGAAATGGATAAGGAAACGGGTTCTCCTTCAGGCTCCAGAAGGAACCTGCCTGTCTGACACCTTGACTTGAACCAGTGAGACTGGCTTTGGACTTCTGACCTCTCTTTGTAAGAGAACAAATTAGTGTTGTTTTAAGCCAGGAACTGGTGGTAATTTGTTATAGCAGACACGGGAAGCCAATGCATGGGGATGCTGTTACTTGCCTGCGATGCAGGTTAGGATGCTGTGTGTAGACCAGGCTCAGAGTCAACCCCAGGGAGATGACTGCAAGTCAGGGTGATGGTGAACGAAGAAAGGGGCCTTCTGATCTTATAAATGCCACCCCTTTCCCAGGCCCAGGGGCCAGAGCTCCAGCAGCTGCAGCCCATGGTCTCAAGTTTGTAATCTGAAAAAAGTAAGATGAGTATGAGTTTCTAGAACCATTGCTTCTGAAATTGCTAGGACTGACTCTGGAGCCGTGGAATTTTAAGCCTAAAAAATTCCTTTGCAAGTGGATTTAGAAAGGTCAAATTGCTTGCCCAAAGTTGCATCACTAGTGAGTGGTAGAAGACAAATTTAGATCTCTGACTGCCTGGCATCAACAACATGAAGACCCAGAAGAAGCACATGTCGTGTAGTCTTTTGAAAAGGATCATGGATGAAGGGATCATGGGTGAAGGCAGCTTTGAATATTGTAAGAGGGAGGGGCCAGAAGTCCACCTGGGACACGTGTACCTGTGGCCCTAAGATCTTTACTCATGACACCAGAGCTGGAGCGGGGAGGTATGGCTAGAGGATCTCAGAGTGTGTTGCTAGAAGAAGACAGAAGGTGAGTTTTTGGCTTGAGCTGGGGTCTGCCCAAGCAAGTGCCAAGTTGGCCTTTAAATCCCCTGGAGCCCTCTCTGCTTGAGAGAAAGTGGGGCGGTGGGGGCGGGGGGGAGGTGGGGAGCATGGAGTAGCTCAGTGTGGGGAGTACAGGACAAACAAGGCACAGCTCAGGGTGCACACCTTAGTGTCTAAAACCTGGCATCACAGTCCACCTCCACCACCTTCTGCCTGTGTAAGTGGGCAAGTCACTTAAACTGAGCCTCAGTTTCCTCATCTTTAAATGGGGAGCATAACACTAACCTAACTTGTGAATTATTGTGAGGGTTTGCTAAAATTTTTCCCTGGGACAGAGAAGGCCTTTAGTGAATAGAAGCTGCTATTGTAATTACCATTAGAGATGTGTACAGGGAGTCACTGGCAACCTCCAGGGACTGATAACGGGGCTGCAACATAGCTGGATGCAAGTCCTTGGGAAAGTCACTTCCTGTCTCCAGGCCTCTTCATCTCCCCTGTGAAGTACAATTCTTCTAGGAACTCTTTAAATTAGGTCTATTGTTTTATTTCTTACTAGAGGCCCGATGCATGAAATTCATGCAAGAGTAGGCCTTCCTTCCCCGGCTGATGGCACCAGCTTCCCTCCAGCACCTGGGACTGGGCATCCCTCCCAGCCTCACTTTGTCCAGTCAATTAGCATATATTGCGCTTTTATTATTATAGATAGTTCTAGTGCCATGTTATTTATTTACTTCCCTCAGCAACGCTGTGAGATAAGAGCTACAAATCCCATTTATCTGAAGCTCAGTGGCAGCCAGCGGCAGAACTGGGGCAAGTGCCTAGGTCAGTTTGACACTGTACACAGCCATTCTTCCAGGTGCATTTCGTATTCACTGCAGGACCTTGGGCAGATTCTTGTTTCTCTCCAGGATTGGGTTTCCCCACTTGCTCTGGACTAGAATATACTCATGATAATACCAACGTACCTCATAGGAGAGGATGGGTCCATAGTAAGAGCTTACAACAGTGCCTGACACATAATAAGTGCTCAAGAAACTTTATTACAATATTATTATTACTACTGTTATGAAGCAGTTCGTTTCCACTCTGAAAGTTTTATTTCTTCCTCACTGCAACCTTGCACAAATGTCTAACTCCGGGCTTCAATCTCGCGCCTGCAGCCAGACCGGTTACCGGAGATACTAGTACATGCAACCTCCCAGATTTGAGATTTTTCCCGGTGGAGTGGAGTCTGAGTCCCTGAGGGCGGGCCGCAGGCTGCCGCCTCTCTGTGATTGGTGCAACTTCGAGACCCCGCCTCCTGGGGCCGCACCCCGCCCGTCAGAGGCCGGCCTCGGGGATTATGCAAAATGTCTCCGCCCCGCCCCGCGCCCGGATTGGAGGCCTTTGTTTGCCGCTCAACTCCAGGAAACCACCCCGCGCAGCGGCCAGCAGGTGAGGAGCGGGGAGGGGCTCGCGGTGGGTACGCGGCAGGTTCCGGCCCCTCGCTGGGTCTCAGTTTCTCTGTCGGGGGAATGGGGAGGGAGGGTGGGCAGCGCGATGGGCCTGGGTCCACGGGGACTGTGCTGCTCTCGGTCTCTCCCACGTGGAAACCACGCACACCCGTCTCGGAAGGAGACCGATCGCCGCTCTGGGAGCGGGAGGGAGTCCTGGATGGGCTATCCATCCTGAGTCCAAACCCGGCGGTCTCCACCTTCCGGCCTCAGTCTCCACCTCCGCACAATGGGGGCGCTGGCTTTTTCTCCCTGCCTGCGGCTGGCGAGGGTCCAAGGGAGGGGAGGGGTCCCCAGGGAATCTGGAGGTGGTCCTTGGCCCGGCGGAGGGCTGTGTTTGGGTTAGAGGTGTGGCCGGGTAGCTCTGGTTACGGGGAGGTGGGACTTTCCCGTCCTGGGATTTGTGTGAGGTTCGCTCACCCGGCAACAACCGCGCACCCTGACAACTCCGAGCCGCGCGCCCTCCCCAGACGCCTAACGCAAGTTTCTTTTCCTCTTTTTGGCGGGGAGAGAGGTAGAGCGAGGGCCAGCATGGGGGTGGGCAGCTCTGACAGTGGCAGGAACTGGAATGGACTGCGGAAATGTAAGACCAGCCCCTGTTGGTACGCAGATGGGGAGACTGACACTCAGAAATGGGGCACGGCTTCGCCAAAGGCGCCACCGCAGGGCAGGTGCAGAGCTGGCGGCTCCCCGGTGGGATGGGGCTGGCGGGGACAGAGCCAGAGCCAGTTCTTTGGTGCGACCTGGATGAGACTCCTTTGCCCAGCTTTTGTTGAGAGAAATGGCAGAGTGGAGCGGATCACTACCTGCATTTCAAAAGCTTCTGCTTCTGGGTGAGAAAGTTGGAAAGGAAAGTTGCTGATAACAAACTGGGGCTATTTGGGAGCTGAGAAGAGCAGCTGCGACAGGCTGCAGTGAAAAGAGACATTGTTCCTGTGCTCTAGAACAGAAGGAAAAGAAATAGCTGAAACTGAAGCATGAAGGACTGAGGTTAGATACTCACAGGGACTTCCCAAGAAAACTTTCCAGGCGCCTCCTCTCGAGTTGATGGGTTTTAATTTTTGGCCCTTGGTACTGTTTTGTCAAGAAAACAATTTCTGCCCATCTGTTTGAGGGCGTCTATCTGGCTTACCAGTAGGTGAGGGTGTTTGGGGACCATTTGGGGTTTATTCCCAGGAACCGTCTCAGTTCTTCTGCAGGAGGGAGAAGGTACTCATGTGGGGCCTTTGCTTCCACTGGTTTGCGTTTGAAACATGTGATTTGGGCTGTTTCTTGCAAGGAAATTTCATCAGCTCCCACCAGCCTGCACAGCTTCCA